GTTTTCTCTCTAGGTGTCTCTCCTTAAGCACACTTTACGTCGTCGATCACTTTCCTCTGTGGCCCCATAATCTCCTTGATGAGAAAATTTGAGATTCCAGCGAGTTACAGGATGTTACTGTACAGGTTCTCTTATGTCCTGAGTCCTCACTGACCTTGAAAAGCTAGGGTCAAAATGTTGGCTGTGCTTGTAGCTCTCCTTTTTCTCTAATTTTTTGGTCTCTAAACTTAAGTTGTTCACCTTCCAGAAGAGAAGCTTAATGGTATTTTTGTCCTTTAACATAGGCTGTTGAGCTTAACATCACTATCTGTCTGAATATCAAACACCTTAGACATGACTTGGAACGAGTATTTTCCAACAATCGTTGATATGCTAAACTTTAAATCCCCGTGAAAAAGATACAAAAAATAAAAAATAAGAAAATAAGAACAGTAAATAAAAATAAACAGTTACACATTTTTACACAGAAAGTTAGAGATCTAACCATATACCCCATTGCAGCAGGACAGTCCTATGACATCTTTTTCTTGCCTCTTGTTTTCTTTTATTACCTTTTTTTCCCTAAATATGTATTTACTTGAGAGAGAGAGTTTAGCAGTAATTGACATGGCATTAGAAGCAGTATACATTTAGAAGAGCAGAATGACAGGCATTCCAAGCACGGCCCTAGTATTACACATTGCTATCCTCCATGCAAAAGTTGCTGAGTTGCTGAGTTCACAGGTATCAGAATATATAGTTAGTCAGGTGACAATCCTGCCACTTAACTGCTAGGTTCAAAACCCTGATGCAGTTTCTCAGGACAATTTCCTTAACCATCTTGTGTATTTAAATGTATGGCTTTGCCCCTACCATATTTCCTAGCTGTTCAAAAATATGGAACGCTTCACGAATTGCGTGTCACCCCTGCACAGAGGCCGTGCTGATCTTCTCTGTACCATTTCAATTTTAGTACGTGTGCTGGTGAAGTGAGCACCGAAAATGCGTTTTACCATTAATTTGTTGCTTCTTTGTAAGAGTGGGTGCTTCTGTGTGTAGCGTCAGAATTTTCCAGTCGTAATAAACAGAATATTAACTACTATTTTCTAATTTATTTTCTCAAAAATGTTCCTTTGCTTTTCAACAAAGTAAGAAAAGTTCTTTCTGCTTTTCCTTTTTGATGCCTCTTGTATGACACTAAAATAAAAAGATGCTCTGAGCCCGAGCTTGTGAAATCATAGAAAATGCAATGTTACTACTACACCACTAGATGACAGACAAGCTTCACAGTAAATGGGGAGCACCCTGGTCCTGACCAGTCTAGGAAGGTGATGCTGTACATCTCCCAGCAGGGAGCCTTGCACAATCACAGTGTTTCTAGAAAGGGCGGATAGCAGAGGCCACCTTGGGCCGTCAGTGACATTTCCACATGAACACTAAATTGGTCAGCCAGAAAATGATAACTATTCTAGAAAGAGAAATATAACCTTTGAACAACCGAGAAGACCAAGAGGCCTTTACATCTAAGATTTCTAAGACTCTCTCTTCTCCCAAGTCAAAAAATGACATTCTAATGCAGGACTTAGTGCCTGTCATATTCAAATGTCATTGACTGCGCAAGGCGGCTTCTCTGTGTATGTTCTTTCTTAAATAACCCATCTCAGATTGTGCTTGATCACATTCTGGTTCGTTCCCAAAGCTCACTGCCACGTTCAGAGCATTAGGAGTTCATGAGAAGTTAGCAGGTGACATCACAGTGACTGCACATAGATCACCACGGTTTGGTGTTTTCAGTTCTTTTGGAAAAATACCCAGAAGGCAAATATCTGAGTTGAATAGGACTGCCAATCCTAGGTTTTTGAGGCATCGCCATTCTGATTTCCACAGTGGTTGTACCAGTATACTTTCCTACCAACAGTGGAGAAGGGTTCCTTTTCCCTTCAGCCTGTCCAGCATATGTTATTATTTTATGAAAGCCAATTTTTCTGGGGTGAGATAGTCATATTCCAATAATTGTTATACAGATTTAATGCCCTCCTTATCAAAATACCAATAGCATGCATCGCAGACTTAGAGAAAACACTCCTGAAATGCTCATGGAATCAGAAAAGATCTAGAATAGCAAAGGCAGTGCTGGGCAACAAAGGCAAAGCAGGGGATATTACAATCCCTGACTTCAAATGATACTACAAAGCTACTGTGATGGAATCAGCATGGTACTGGCAAAAATGAATAAATAAATATATAAAATAAAATAATAAATAAATAACCGACCTGAGGATCAATGGAAAGGGTTGGAAGACGCACACAAAAACACAAACACACTCAGCAACCTTACTTTTGACAAAGGGGCCGCGACATGTTCACTGGAAGAAAGACAGCCCTTAACAAATGGTGCTGGAATAACTGGCTTTCTATGTGCCAGAAACTACAACTAGATCCAGGTCTATTACCTTACTCTAAACTAAAACCAAAATGGATTAAAGATCTACATTTTAAAACAGAAATACTATGTCTACTGGAAGAGAAAGTAGGTGCAAATCTGGAAGACATAAGGGTAGGCAGACAGTTCGTGAAGAAAAACCAAACTTTGCAGGAAATAGTCCCCACCATCAACAGCTGGGGCCTTCTCTTATCGAGGAGCTTCCGCATGTCCAAAGAAATCACAAGCAGTGTGAAAAGACA